AGGAAGGAAAAATCCACTATGTAGGCAAAACATCTGGGTGAGTGGAACTGGGCAAAATCCTGTTGCGTCATCTTGTGCCAGTATATCCCAGCTTAGGCACTGGAAGCATATATTCAACCCCCAATATCCTAAGAATCGCATGGCAATCCTAAGGATATATGTCAATGATTTTAATATTAAAGGATCTCCACTCAGAAGGCTAAAAAGCCTTGAAGGCAAAAGGGAGTGCCAAGCAGCTTCAAAACCTAAAAGGAGAGGATAGGAAGCTTTTAATAACTTTAATTTAAGTGCTTCTGGTGCCTGATCCAGATTCCACTGCACAAGGTATGGCAAAAGGATTTTACCCATTATGTTTAAAGGAACCTCTTGATTACACAGATCCCAAGGCTGCACATGATCTAGAACTGTGGCTCCCAACCTTGGATTCTCCAGATGTTCTTGGACTACAACTCCCAGAAGCCTTCACCACATGATTTCTGGGATTTGTAGTCCAAGAACATCTAGGGAACCCAAGGTAGGGAATCACTGAACTAAAAGATGCATTATTTGGTTCCATCTGATTATTCATGCCACGATCAACACTCTGGTCGGATCAGAGAGTGTCTAAGGAGATCAGAGATTGTCTGAACTGCCATAGGCTCTACCAGTGCAGAGGCTATTCTACACAGTGATACAGTATAACAAACGGGGTGAATGGCAACACAGATTACCACTATTGTGCAGAGAATGACCATACTCCCAGCAGATATTCCTTGTAACTACACCTGAAGAAGCCAGTAATTGCAAATTCTTTCACACAGGCATGTTTTAACATAGAAGCTAGACCTCAGGCAAGGTATGGCCAGCTTTAATAAGCAGGTTGGGTTCTCTCCTCCAAATCACTGGGGAAGTCACGGCTCAAAGAAAAATTGGCAGCAGGTAGCTTTAGCCTGAGATCTGAAACCTCCTTCCAACATTATAATTTTTACCAAGGGAACTATGGGAATGAAAATCCTAAAATAGGAAGCAACTTCAAAAGAAGGTGCATTAGGAAGAGATTTTAAAGCAAATAATTTGTCTAGCCACTGTGGGGTTTTTTAATCAAAAATATAGCCATGAAGACTACCTTTAGATTATTGCTGGTTTATTTATTTATTTGATTTATATCCCGCCTATCTGGTATATTTATACCACTCTGAGCGGCTAATGTATATGTATATGTAAACTTTGTTTGGTTTTGTTCAACAAAATTTTAACTGGAAGGAATTACATATGAGTCTTCTAACAAAAATGACAATCTGATTCTGGGTTCTCTCCCCTCCCCTCCCTTGACAATGGTGACTGCTTGCAGGTATAATACAGGTGTTGTAAGCAAAAGGTCCCAAGTTTAATCCTTAACCTCTCAAGGAAGGGCTAGGAAAGTTTCATGCTTAAACTTTCAGAAGATGGCATCTAGTAGGGTGGACAATATTGGGCTGAACGGACCAACAAGTCAATAATGTAGGAGGCAGCTTTTGATTTAATTGTTTCAGTAGCCTATCACCAACACTTGTAGTCAATGCCATATTGGGCATATACGAATGAAACAGGTGTGTCTCACTGAATATTATGGGATGGTACTGATTCTATCCTGCTTCTAGAATTACTTATAATTATGCCTAACTCTCCTTTACCTCTCTTAGAGCTATGGGTATATGCCAAGACTGCCATTCACCAAGGCAGATCTAAAAAGCATGTGCAATATGCAAAATGACAAAGAGAATCAATTAGCTACAGTTTATGCATTTATCACAATTTCAATCCGCCGGTGAAAATTGAGAGCGACTGCACCTCGCAAATTTCACAAGAATTAGGGAAGCAAAATGGCATTCTCAGTTTTTTTGCAGAGATCAAAATGGATTATTGCTCCCTATCACCGAAGACCTCCCTATCACTCAAGGCCATTTAAAATCCTACTTTGGCAAAGGCTAGACTATTATTTATATGAGCAACAGAAAGCTGGCTCATCTTCCTTTACATAAACAAAGTAATGATTACCAAAGAGAAAAGGTTTGTGCCGATGGTTGTTAGGAGTCCTACATTCTACGAAAAGTTTTCATGTGTGGAATAGGAGACCTATCTGGGATGATTAAAACATTTTTTTTAGATCAGGTCATACTATTTTATTTATTATGAATTTGTAATAGATCATGGAGTCATACAATAATGGAGTTGGAAGGGGCCTCTAAGTCCACTGAGTGCAACTTCCTGCTCAGTGCAGGAATCCACATCAAAACAGATCTGACAGAGGGTTGTTCATTTTTCTCTTGAATGCCTCCAGTGCTGGACCACTCGTTTATAGATTAGACACTTAATTGCATTAACTGGTGTGTACATGATAAAGACTATTATATACAGCATACATGCAAAACAGTACGAAAACCACACCTAAAGTAAAGACAGCATGAACAATAACACTGTAGGACAGAGCAGTGGAACAGGATGAATTTTACAAGCTAAGGAAACCTCTGTAAAGCTTTATATCTACAACTTACAGATAATGTCTATTGGATATCAAAGGATCTCTGTGCGCTTTACTTTATTCCTTTGCAGGCAGGAGATAAGAAGGGTCAGAATAATGAGAACCAAAGGCCATACCCTGCACAACTCCTTATTTGTAGCTGCTCTGGAAATACGTTGTGTGCATGGGAGAAAAAAAATAAACAGTTCTCTTGTTCCACATGGTAGACTAGTGGGATATTCTAGCTACGTTTGGCAATATATGAGCAGCTGATGATCAGAACCATGGAGAGCTACTGCTCTGCAACCATAGGGCATGGGCATATTCTAGATTTGCTGAGAAGGTTTCCAGAAGCAGGGCTTGGTGTGCTGCCTGAAAAGTGGGAATGGACGTCTTGAGTAATATTGAGGCAACGGCAGTGTACTGCTCTCCTGGGGCGGCTGTTTTAGGGACTGCTCTTTTGGAGAATTTGAGGGATCCAGTTTTGGACGTTCAGTGACCTCCATCTTCACAGTCCTAACATCTCTTCATTAATGGAGCTGGAATCTGAACTCTGAGTTCTAGATCTTTAGGTTCAATTACAGCCTAATGTTGTCAGCCTTTAATGACTTTTCCTACCTTCAGAGACCCATTATGAGAAGGTCTCAGAAACATGATCACTTGCAGGGCATACAGGAGAAATGATATGCACACAAAGCAACGTTTATCTTGCAGACTGTGAATGGTGAAAATGAATGCAGTTAAAAAACATGTACAAATGGTAGAATCAGTGGGGCATAATGTACACATTTGGTATGCATAAAATATGTATGAATTTCAGTAGAAGTAGAACAAAGTCCTCCATCTCAATATGTAGCAGGGATGGGAAGAAAATACAGGTGAGATAGGGGAAAAATGCAATGGAGACACTTTCAGATCCCTGCTGTAGGGTTGGATGCTCCCAGCTGCTAGGAAGTCAAGCAGCAAGTAAAACAGAATCATACAAGAAATCTAGTTAATCGCGCATCTGGTTCCCCTTCTAGCCATCAACTAGAAAAAAAATGGGCTAACAATTTCATTTAAACTAGGACTTAGCTGAGGAAGTAAGGAAGCTTTTCTTTATCATTTTCCTTTCTTCTGGGTTTCATGTCATCATGTATCAAGCTGAGGTTCAGAGGTGAAGGAATATGACTGGGATGAATCTACATTTCCTGAAGAAGGCAGCTAGGTTCCTGAACACTACGCCAGGATAGCTCCTGAGTCCAGTTCATCTGCCGATCCAAGTCCTTCCCTCTCCTTATGTCGTACAGAACAAACACTAGTTGAGATATCTCAAGGACCAGGACATGCACGAGAGAGAGAGAGAGAGAGAGAGAGAGAGAGAGAAGAGGCTTGCCGCCTAATGGAACAGGGATGGAGTCCTCTAGAATACTTGTGCATTTGGTCAGAACCCTGTTTGTCTTCAGATAAGGAAAAGGTGAGATTCCCAGTGGGGTATAGCTGAACGAGTGATTGTTTAGCACTCTGGAGACCTGAATTTCAATCCCTGCACAGCCATGGAAATTCACTGGGTGTGTGTGTGTAACTAGTAAAACCAGTCCTTAAATATCACACTTAGTTTGAAAGCCTTTTAGGGTTGCTTTAACTCAGTTCTGACTTAATGGCTCATAACACACAAAGACCCACTAAATGCAGTAAGACTTACATCAGAGTAAAAATGGATCCAAGTGTGTTATAGCAGTGTGAGCTGGCAATGGCAAGTTTCAAATCTCATTTCTTCAA